ATGTTCCTAATTGAACACTCTTAGCTGTCTTTTTTTATTTTATGGGAACTTGGGATTTTGCACGTAGGGTCAGGCCTCTCCAAGTCCGGCCCAGGTTAAAGAGCCCTTCACATTCAGCGACAGTTGACTGGATGGGCCAGACTGTTTCGTTTGTCACGTTAGTTTGTATTTGTGTTTGTTTTTTTTTCTTTTGTTGTTTCTTGTGTTTGCATTAGACTGAGAGCCGTTCACATTCCTCATGGTGAACTGTAACAAAATGTTTTCATTTCCGCCGCTCAGATGGGTGGTGTGGGGGAGTGGCAGGGGGCGGGGTTATCGCATGGCCTATGACCCACAGGGAGCCCTTTCGCTCACATTGCTGCGGTGTCCCGGTGGTGGGGGGGGGGGGAACTCCCCAGGCCGGAATCCAAACTGCCGTAAAACTGATCGCTCAGGCCAACCTAGGACAGGCTGCACTCGGGCCCACTCTGGCCAGAGGAATATGCAGGTGATACTTGGGACAGAAGCGTTTCCCACAGCTCTCATGGATAAGGCAGACGGGTGGCTTGGGTGCGTCTCTCACCTCCTGTTCCACGGCTGTAACCAACCTCAGGCTTTTTAATTAGCGTCGTCTTTGCAGGTACACGTTAAACTCGAGATTATTCTGCCGGCCCGATCGCTGTATTAACGGAGCGATACGTAGGATGGAGGGCAGGGTGTGTAATCCAGAGTTGTGTGTCAGCGTGACCGTCAGACCTGGGGAGTATTTCCAGAAGGATACAGAATTGACAGCAATGTGGGCTGAAGAGACCCTGGGAGACGGAAGCCGTTGCTGTACCTGCCGATGGCTTCGGGGGGGGGGTTTCTGAGTGACAGGGTGAGCCTGTAAGCTTTGGTACGTGTCCTCATTGGGCCGGGGGGAGACCCGATTTCTGTTGACTGCAAATGCCGTTATTTTTATATAAATATAAATAATTGGGCTGATGGCAGATATTTTTCCCTCCCTTTGGTAATGTAAATATGCAATATGCTTTTTGACATATCACTGCTAGAGAACAGTTTTGTGTTATTGTGTTAATAGCTGGCTGACAAAAACAAAACGAAATGTAACTTTTGGGGCTTTGTTTACTGTTCATGATGCTACTTCCTGTATGTGCTGGAGGGGCTGCTGACCTTGGGGTGGGATCATAGAGGGGTCTGGGTTCCTGCCCCCCCCTCCAGACTGCTTAAATGTGCAATCACAGGAAGTTTGAGCATTTCATAACTGACCAGTCAGCCCAGAGGAAACACTGTTAATATTGTTCAAAGTGGGATATTGTTTTTTTGCACCACAATGACGGCTTCAAATTGTGTTTTATTTATTTGTTCTAACTGAATTGTTGGTGTTATTAGGGGAATTTTTTTTTGTTCTGGATTAAAGGCACCTCCAAATGGCTTAAGAATGTAGTTTTGGCGCATTGCTAAGGTTTAATGTTTTTTTTTTTTGTTTTTTAGTTACATTTTCTTACCAAACTGTTACAGCAAAAGCCCTGTTGAAGACTGGCTTCAGTCCTCTTGTCGCTCTAGTGTTTATTTTGTTATTTAAATGTACGCATGTAAGGGTCTCACATTCAGTACAGTTTAGTCACCACAATGCTGTCAGAACACGGCAGATTCCCCCCCACCCCCCCGGCAAAAGGGCTGTGTGAGATGGAAATGCTGCTTCTGTCCTGTGGCACTTTCTAATCCCCCCCCCCCCCGGGTCTTATTCTGTGTTCATTTTTGTATGTACATGTATAGGAGCACCGAAGAAACTTGTTTAAATGAACATGTGCTATTCAGATGAGTCTGAAATTGCTGTATAATAAGCGGGACTGTTCCCAGCGCCCCCTACTGGGAGACGTGGAGGGCCGCGGTGAAGCGGCCATGTGACAGTACCTGCTGGAAGGATTGGGCAGTGAACCTGGGGGTCATTTATACACCAGTTACACCAGTGGGTGAACTGCAATACTGTCCATGGGCAGGATTTTCTGACTCACTCACAAATTCATTACTTAGAAGTTTCTACTTGACAGCCAGCAGGGATGCTGTGCTGAGATCTGCTAATGCTATAAGGATTTTTTTTTTGTTCACAGAAATATATATGAGGGTCCATGAGAAGGAGAGTTCTGATCTTGGATCAGGAAATAACATTAAGTCTTACAATATAAGCACTGAATGCTGGATTTGTTTATGGCTATGAGAGGACCAGCTAACTGGACAGCACTGGGACAGTCTGGTGCAGGGTAGAGGTGGGAATATTCTCCCTTTGGTGGGTTTGTATGAGAGATGGGGGGCAAAATCATTGTCCAGTCAGGAAGTGTAATGCTGTGTGTGTGTGTGTGGTTGGGGTGGGGGGGCAAGTCTGTGTTTCGAGGGGCTGGTGACAGCTGGGACCATCGAGATCCTGGTTAGGTGCTTCATCTAAAAGCGCCATCCTGCAATATCCGTGCAAAGTCATCTGCCACTAGGACGATTTGAGGGCAGTAATGTTCTGTTGGGAGAGGTCCACTCATGTTGCACTGTTTAAAATGGTATTCCCACATTCTGTGCTGATCGGTGCTGTGCGGATTCTGGAGGAAATGTTACCGTTCAGCACCACAGGTCCGTCAGTATTCTTCCATGGGACACACCACTGTGTTAACTGTCCACATAATTCTAATTATTTACATACAGCTAATGCCATTGAACGGTACCAGCTACTTAATCCATATCACAGCGGCACAGTGGACAGACGTGCGTGTGAAGCGACGGACAGCGTCTGTGCTGAGTCTCGTAGCTGTCAGTGGCTCCGGGGACCCCCCGGCAAAGAGTTTGACCCAGAATCCTCGTATTAAAAAGAGAGAGTGCAGGAGTTGCCTGAGGGTGGGGTGGAGACGGCGCTTATGTGCTGTGATACCACTGGTCCTTGTGGAGGACGAATGGACCCTGTGACAGCAGAATGGCTGGATCTGAGAGAGAGAGAGTGTGAAAGTGGAGGTCCTGATGACTGAGATTAAGATATCAGACTCACATCTGGTGTGGAGTAGAGAGGGGAATGACAGACGGACACCAGTGATTCTGCATGTGCCAAGAGGTGCTCAGGCTTCTGTTCTGTACGTAAGCAGGAATTTACCAGAAAGAGAGGGAACTGCAGGACTACACTGGCAAATGAGTGACAATGGTCACTGCTGTGTGTTAAGTGGCTGTCGTTGTGGGATAGTCTTAAATCTTGTTGGACAGATCCATTAAAAAGACCTTAATGTACAATCTTGTCATTTCATCTTCAGTCTTTATAGTTCATGTGCACTGAGAAGTGGCATTTTGTGCTGAAGGACTGGTTGGTTTTTGTTGTGATTATTATGTTGATTGTATTTCGATTTAAACTGAAGGATTGGAGAGAACATGTCACCAAGAAATGGTGGATTTTTCTGTAGAGCGATGGATGCCACTCGAGGCAAATTTAACGGCGAATCAAGATAGGTCTGTCGGGGGTGGAAAGCGCCGGCCCCAGATTCATGCCGTTCAGAATAAGCTATCCTGGTCCACAGACAGATGGAGAAGGTGGATGCTGACAAGCTCCAGCCCCACCAGTCTGTAGGCTCGCCTGCTTCAGCCGCCACTTAAACCGTCTTTGCTTTGATTGAGCTCGACTGAATTAAAGGCTCGATTTAAATCGCATGCAGCCAAGTGCATTCACTGAGTTCTCGCCTTAATTCTTCAGCTGTGTTAAACCCGATTAGTTAATTGTCATTAAAGGCACAGGTGCAGCTTTGATTAGAATATGCAGCCTCTGATTCTTTGTGAAACTTAAACCATCATATTATTTATAGACTGCTTAAGTGCTGCCACTATTAACTAAACTAAGTAATCATTGATTAAAATACTGAACGCTGCTTCATTCAAAGGGGCAACAATGTGCATGTAATTAGCATCTCATTTCACTGTTCATAAGGCTTGACTTTATGGGTAATCTGAGGAGACACTGAGTCTCGACCTTCGCTTTGGACTGGTGTGCGGCCCGTTCGGTCGACACCTCGATCAAAGCCAGAAGGTTAATCGAACCAGCCAGTGGCTTGAGGAGGTGGCTGGAGCGAAGGAGCCGGGTGATGATGCCCCCTGGGGGTTCTGTGGCAGCACTGCAGAAGGAAAGGATAGGGAAATATGACAGAAACGGGTGATGGAAGGAGGAGGATGTGCAAGTCGGCCGGTGGAGGAGATGACGGATGGACTGGTGTTTCTGAATGGCGAAGGAGGCCAATGCTGCCTATGTGAAGTGCACATAGAGACTGTATCACTACTGTGGTGGGGGGGGGGGTGACTTGAGGAACCAGAAAGCCGACAGCTGCCACACGGATATTGGCATCCCCGCGATGCTCTTCCACTTCTCAGACATTCAAACTGGAGGATTTCACATGGGGCAGAACAGGATTCTGATAGAGTGGTCTGAACCAAAGCATGGTGATGTGGGTGTGACATCACAGGAAGGGGAGGGGCATGGGCGGGGCCAATCTAAGGGTCATAGACACATGGTAGTCACAACAGTCGCTGGAGGAGTCTGTTGTAAATGACTGAAGTGCAGGTTGAACAACATTGCTTGACGAATGCTTGCTACAGCTTGGCATGACAGAATATTCTGTGGTAAATGGTCACTCCCACTGCCTGCTTCTGTACTGTGATCTCAAACTGCCCACAGAGTTGCTGAAGGGGGTTCCACCCGGTCCGGCCCTCGGGGGGCAGCGGTTACTGCAGCAGTTGCCTCTGGTCAGACTCCTTCATTCACTTACAGTCTTCCAGAGTGTTTTGGGGTGCAGGTGGTGCACAGCTCCACTAGATTAGAGTGTTTGATTTATTTTTTAAATCCTCCTGATGTAACATCAGTATTTATTTTACTTCCTGGAGGGGTTAAATGTACAAAAATAGACTCATACTGCTGATGTTTTGTTTCAATATTGTTTTTTGTTGTTATTTATTAATTAATTCCTTGTTGTATATTCCCGTCCAGGGTATAACAGTGCGTTTCCTTTGGAATCCAGTGTTTTGGGAGGTTGGGGAGACCCTTATTTAGTTTGTGTGAACTGTCTGTTCAGTTATCTTTTTTACACCCCTGAAAAGCTGTTTTACCATTAAGGTAGGACACACAAAGACGCAGATGCTACGTCTGTACAGGATCTTGCTCGTTCTGATTGGAACCGATGTCCTTTCTGTAAACGACACCTGTGACTGTGCTGACGTGGTTCCGCTTGGCCTAATGATGTTGAAAGCTCCCGGGTCACCTGATGTGTTCAGTTTGGCTCCAGTGAGTCAGCACAGGGATGGGAGCTATCAATGGGTGTGATGTCGTATGTGAAGGATGACAAACGTTACAGCATATTACTACTGAAACGGACGGTCGCTTGACAACACTTGTACAAAAAAAAAAAAAAAAAGGTTGACGTTTTCCATTCCACAGTTTAAAAGAAAAGACCCACAGTGGGCCGTGAGTAGCACTTTCATTCCTACTGCTCTTTTTATACGTTTGACTGAGGAAATGTCACTGCTTAAGAAGTTTGATTAAAAATGGGAAAAAGTGACTAAAAGCACAGAAGCCCCCCCCCCATGTTTTTAATTATGACAGTTAATATTATTTGTATAAATGTAATATTTCTTTGTGTGAAGTGCAGATGACCAGGTGTGTGGATGAGCTCTGGGCAGGAGACTCTCTCTGTGACACTGACGGGGTCGTCCCCCACCCATGAGCCTGTGTGATGCCCTCTGCTGCCCAAAGAGCAGGTCTGAGTCCTGCGGTCACTCAGACGCAAGTGTCAGACACACTGGGCAACAAGGCGACGGCATAGTCGTGGGAAGGCCCCACTCTTCCTCGACTCGACCCCCCCGCCAGTGTCAATCTTTCTACAGTTACTATCACAACCACTCAACTCACAGGTTCATGAGATAAATTAACTATAATACTGATGGAGCCCCAGCACGATTCAGGTCGGCTTCCCGTTTTAACCCTCCGATCGAATGGCTCTCGTACCGTGGGATGGCCCCTCCCAAAGGAAAAAAGTGTAGAAGAGCTGGGCTGTGGCCATGCCCCCCCCCAGGGTGGAGCCTGGGGGCTGCTGTGCCTGGGGGCTAGGGCCGTACACCTTTTATCATCTGGCCGAGCACCGATGTGGATTCTATCCTTACTAACTGCAGGGTCTATACAATATATACATATATAAATATATATATAAATAAATAAAATATATATATTTATATATTTTACACCTCAACGTACACTCTTTGCTGCTACTGTTTGTACTGTCTACAACAGATTTTCTTGTTATCTTGCTCCTGGTCGTGTATTTTGAACGAGCATGAATTGTAAAGTATTTATTTAAAGAAAAAAAATTACAAATCAAAAAAGACAAAAAAGAAACCGACTTGTAATTATTAATTTTACGTCCACGTAGCTTTAGAGTTTGTGACATTTCTTGACCTTGCTTAGCTGTCGATGGATCCATGTTAAGATCTAGTCGTGTGGTTCAGGATTTTAAGCAGAAGGGACTAAAGAGAAAAAAATTGAATTACTGTCAGTCATATTTAAAGGATAAAATGTTATTTCCTTGAGAACAGGACCCACAAGGATGTGAAAATAATCTGCAGGAAACTGTTTTTTTGTACACTGCACATCCTTAGTATTTTTACATGTACATAAATGTATATGATAGGGTGCACATTACCTTCCTTCCTACAGACAGCTGAAATAAAACATTATGTCAATCTGCTTCAGGCCTGTGTCTGTGTGCCGCTGTCTTCTGTGACCCAGTTGAACGCGCATGACGGGCAGCTGCTACCATTCAGAAGTGTTTGTCTATGTATGGAACATATTAGGGGTTTGTCTCTCCCACTCCGACAATACAGCAGCATCTACATACATGGTCTATGATACGATTTAGATCAGTGAAACGCTATTTTGCACTGTGAAGCTGCCTGACAGTTACAGTAATAAGATCTTGGGGGGAAAAACAGTAATATTACGCGACGAGTGTATTGATTTGTATCGATTAGCTTTTCAGTTGGTTTTTCTTCTAAATTTGAGCCATACTGCGGGTGTTAAACTGATGCAGCTGTATCAGGGACATTTGGACCAGATTTCCGATTTGAAACTGTTTTTCATTACAGCTCATATATTATAAGCATATATAATATATACACATAGAAAAATGCTATGTAAAAATATCCATATTCATCTTAACTGTATTAGTCATTTTAATGTAATTAAAACAAAACTGTACAAAATGGCAGCGGTTTCTGTCTCCCCTTATAAATGTATGTGTGGGCGGCCTTCACCTCTCTCACACACGCTCACCGCTCCCTGAACACAGCAAGTCCCTGAGCGTTTCCCCAGTCCTGGGGGGTCACCGTCATCTACGCTGCACAGCCCGGGCAGTTCCAGGCCCCGTCGCACCCCCTGTCTTTTCCGTAAATCAATGGGTTTGATCCTGCCACTCACAGGGGTTTTGCTGCCGCCCCCGATTAGGGGCCGCGGGGGGGGGGACGTAGGCTGCCGCTCCCATCAGGTGGGAGGTCTTGCAGCTGCAGGCGCCTGGAACGCAGGAGGGCAACAGTAAGGTTAATGGCACCTGCTACTGGCCCCCCCGTCACCCCACACGGTGCTGCTGCTGGGTTCTAGGAACGAGCCCCCAGGGGTCAGGGGGGTGCAGACCGTGCCCAGGCACTGTAAATAAGAGTGACCTCCTGCCTCGGGTCGGATGCAGTTCCCCCCCCGCGTCCTGTGGGCTAACCGCTGGGATGGTGTTTGGAGGCACGTTCCAAGGGGACGAAAACGGGAGGCAACCTGCCCCCTCACGCCCGTCCCTGCTGGAGCCCAGGATGCTGAGCGCTCAGTCACTAAGCTCTCAGGATTTCTGCACCTTAACCGCTGCCAGCGTATCTGCCCATCTGAGCCTCTTCAGCTGGGCGTTTTGCTGCAGCGTATCATGCTAGTTAACCTGCCTGCTGTACAGTGGTGTTGCGACGTGAGCTGGAAGCCTTCTGCCCGTGGGCCCGTGTTCGGCGTTGTGGTGCCCGGCGCCCGTGGGCCCGCTTACCCGCACACGCAGGCTCCGCATCTCCTCGCTCAGCGCCTGTCGCTCCTGCATTAGCTGGTTCTGCCTGTTGAGCAGCTCCAGCACCTGCTGAGCGCTGGCCTGACTGTGCTGGTCCAGCTGCTGCAGCCTGCAGAGGGAACACGGTGGTGAGCGTGGCGCTCGGCTCACGGCGCCGTGCCTCTGCGGGCTCTCAGCGTGCGCCGGGAGCCGTTTAACCTGCTCTGCTAAGGCTCTGCCTTGTCAATAAACGGCGAATGGCGACACCATGTTTTCTGCTCCTGAAAAGCTGCCTGGATGGCGTACGCAGCCAGCGCTGAAAAATATTAGTGAAAGAAGGCCAGAAAATAGCAGGGCGTGGCAATTCCTGCACATAATTCGATCAAGAGTGGGCCGCAATAGCTCCAGAAATGCTTTTCAGAGGCTTCCATACATTGCAGGTATTTCTGTTATTATTCATGGTTTCAGAACAGAGCGCGTTTTACATCTTAGCACGTCTATAATCTGACCGACTACACCGCTGTCCCTAGTCACGTGACAGAGGCTTTGGCCAATGGCAGAGCGGGGGCTGGGCAGCCTTCAGCGCTGGCGGCTCCTAGTGTGGGGAGGCCTCTAGCTGTTGCTGAGAGGAAGGACAGATGCCCTGATCCCACTCGCTGGGGCCGTGCCGTCTGTGTGCTGGGAAGGTGCCCCTCCCCCCCCCCCACAAGAGCTGCAGCGCCCGGGCCAGCTTGTCCTCGGTTACGGCCCGCTGCGCCACGAGCTGGAGCTGCCCCCCCCCACGCCGAGCCTGGCACCTCAGCGCCAGCGTAGCGCTCCAGCCTGCGTCAGTCAGTCAGCTGACCACCCCCCCACAAACACGCACCACCTGGCAGGGCGTGGGTACAGAGCGCCTCGAGCGCGACGACCTGATCTGACTCGAGTGGCTTTCCTCGTGTCCGTCTTCCCGCTCTCTGGGACCACTTCCCCGTTTGAAGCCTCGGCAATGAATGCAGGAAATCTCAGAATTCTGTACCTTCTCTGGTCTATTAAGTATGGTGACATTCCAGAGGATCTGTAAATACATCCTAAAGCCGTCCATAATTAAATCGATTACCCGTTTTCCCCGCGATCCGTCTGTCGTCTCGCTCGGGTTTTCGTGATGCTTTTAGCAGTGGAGTGGTGTTAAAATGTGCACTATTTCATACTGCCACACAACATGACAGTAAACAGAATATTCATTCACACCAGATTTTATCGCACCGTGAACGTCTGCAAGCTCATGGACCAAGGGACTCTGCGCCAGTGCCGCTTATTCCCTAGCAACTGTACGGCAGGCCGTCGACGAGGGGAAGCGCGCACTTTGGTTAAGCGCTTTACAGCCGCGGACGTTTGGTGACACAGCTCTCTGGACCGTGAAGGCTGGCCAATCTATCACCAGAGCTGACCTTAATCTGCACCGGCGGTCACGGGAAACCAGGCGTCACGAGGGCCACGTGCCCACCTGGCAGGCGAGGGGGGGGGGGGGACGTCGAATCTCAAGGAAGGTCCTGGAATAAAGGGACGAGCTGCTCTGAAGCAGGGCTCGCGACGGGGGTCTGATTAAATCAGAGCCCCGTCCAGCAGTCGAAACAGCAAATCCAATAACTGCGCTACATTTGCTGGCACACAACTTAATTAGGTTTTTAATACAGCTTAGCGGACGGGCTCCGGCTCTGGCCCCCGGCCCGTGCCCCCACCCCCCCGCCCCACCCCGTGCCGGGGCTGGCCGGCTGGCTGGCCGCTGCGCGCCGCTGTGGGAAGGGGGCGGATGGCGTCCCGCTCCACCTCCGCTCCCCCACCGGCCCTGGTGAAAGGACACCATCTGGCCGCTCGCGGGCTAACCGAAAGGCGGCAGGGCCACACAGGAACATGGCTCTGCTCGCTGGAAAGCCGGCCTCCTTATTCAGCATCAGTAAACGGCTCTTACGCGGCCGCTGCCCACCGTTCCCGCTTTCAGCCGTGCTGTGAGCACTCACACCCGTACCTGTTCTTGAGGCGTGGTCTGTGCTAAGCGCTTCTAAACCGTCTCAGCAGCACTGAAGCTTCCAGATGTTGCAGGAACAGTTGATGCCAACGTTTGCCCGCACTTAGATTGGCGACGGTCTCGCTGGTACTCGTCCTATGCAAGATTTATGCGTTTGAACCCCACCCCCTTTGGCGTCGTAGCGGTTGGGGGGCTGCCTCAGACGAACAAAATCCTTTGCCGTTACACGGTGAGGGCCGGTCACTGAACCCCCCCAATCGCGTACCTCGGCAGGAACGCGGCCCCCCAACGCCGGCCCACCAGGACGGAGCAGCACGCGGCCACAGCATCGCCAGTCCACCCCGCCAGCCAGGTATTTCTTAATTCTGCCGCCGTGCTTCTTAATTGCAATTAAAAGATAAACAAACACACAAACAGGCCTACATGTGCTATAGCCCAGAGCTCCTGTACAAGGTGGCAGCTGACACCGTCTGTTTACAGGAGGGACAGCGTGGTTTGTATTGCTAAGAGAGAAGCCAGACTGCTGTGGGCAGCCTCCGGCTAGCAGTGCTTCCAGGAGAATGCCACCGCCGCCCCCCCCCCCGGACGGTACGCTCGCTTACCCCGCACCCGCTCACCTGGGAGGCAGGTGTTTGGCAATGGGCTGTGATGGAGGGGGGGGTGGGGGCTGCCGGGAATTCTTCAGGAAACAATCCAGACACCACGCTCTTAGCTACGAGGACTCCGGCACGTGGTAGCTATGGCGACGCCGGAACAGAACACACTGTACATGCTAAATGCCCTCATGACCTTTGACCTCCCGAAGTTTCCCCTAAGATGGCAGAAACTGGAGGCTGCTACTCATCACCAGATTGGGAGACTGAGAAACTTCTGCTGGCTGATCTGAAAACAGACAGACTCATTAGTGCCAAATCAACACTATATACTGGCAGGCTGTGCCAACAGGCAGGACAGGAGAGAATCCAGGCCTCGGAAACGCGAGCGGCAGCAGGACACGCGGCAGCCGTGTGCTGACCAGGTGGCCGGCCCGAGGCTCACTCGCGGGGCCGGCACCGCACACCGTCGGACTCGAACCCGCGATGCTGTTGCTCCCGTGGGTTACGATGCGTGCGTGAGAGTTTGTGTACAGATTTCTCTGTCGTATCCCTACAAAACAAACCTAATCTTGTGCCAAATGTTTCGCCTGATATCCATTTGAATCCTTTTTCTGAGGTTTGTTGGGCTCAGGACTATTACAGGCGTGAGGCAGAATGGACAGACAGGCGAAAACGCCGCTCAGCACCCTTAGACTGGCACATCCCCAGGAAAAAAGCTCGGCAGCAGGAAACAAGGGAGGCTTTTTTTCTGGACTGGGAGGGTGGGGGCATGGCCTGCAGGGTACAGGGAACGGGGCGGAGACTACGGCTGGCTCAGCTCGCCGGGTTGAAACAACAGCGCCAGGGGCATCGTGGGTGCAGATGCTCAGGGACACACCCTCCCTGCCCCCGCCTGGCACAGCTCCGGACTCTGTGAGGAGTTGGGGGGGGTTCTGTCTAGGGGAGAGAGATCTCATGGCCCCCCAACCTGTTTGCAATAAAACGGGATATTGTTGCACATGTCTTCCTTGGTCTCTCTTTTTTAATGTCCTGAAAATGCACAATTGTGGGCCCAGCGCCCGATTTCCAATCCAGAAATGGAGGATCAAAATCACAACGTGGAAACTTCTCATCTTTACCCAAGATTCGTTTATCAAAACCTCCAAAGTTAAAAATAAAATAATAAAACAACTGTCGGGGTTCAAAAGCCCTGAAATTGAGAGGGACAATTCCCGCCGGCCCAGTGGAACCTACGCTCCTGATAATGGCCAGTTACCTCCCAGCTCAGTTTCGGGGCCTTCCCACCGAACGGGACGCGAGCCTAATCCTGCCGCACGGCGCCTGGCGGAGTGCGGTTCCGTCCCGCGTGCGTGTCCTGGCACCTCGTCACATCGGCTCCTTGGCACAGCATCTGGCCAGAAGGGGCTCACCGCAGTGGGGCAGAAAAGGCCGGGGCGGAGGGGTGGGGAGGGGGGGCACTGCACTGCCTCGCCCCCGAGACCCTGTCGCTGCAACGGAACCCGCCACGACCAGACGCTTCCTGTCCGCCGCACAGCAGCTGGGGTTGCTGGGTTAGATCCCGCGGACCGACGTGCAAACACGCCATCATGGCAGCGCGCCACAGCAGAAGAGCAGATCGCTCTCAGTCCGCGACATGGCACTCCGTACGGAGGACTGGGGGCCTGTCCAGCCCTGTGGGACCCATCCCTGCGCCTTATCCTGCAATAAATTCCCCAACTTCTCTGACTTATAGTGACTGGGGACAAATCTATTCTGACAGCCACTAATCACACCCATCTTAAGCATCTTTAACATCCACTGCAGAGTGGCACTGACCCTCTTTCTTGGCCTGCAGCATGACTGCATGTTAATCTGTCACTCGTTTTGGGGTGGGGGGGGGAGGGAATCAGTCAGAGCCTCTGGGACACCAAGGACTTACTCTTCCCATTTTGTTAAGCATCTGGCCCGGCTCGCCCCCGACGTACTCTAGGGGGGGACCCTGCGGGGGGGACCTCAGCATCAGCTCTCTGGTCAGACAGAGCAGCCATATTACGTTGCAGTGGATTGGGTTTAACGGCACACGGGAAAAGTACGAAAGATTTCCGAAGGCTTTCAAGTCAGGAGAGCTGCTGCCTGCGCGAGGTGGACGAGAGAAAATCCACCTTTTGTTTCCCGCTAGCAAGACGCGCTGCCAGCAGCGGAAGCATCGACGCGCTGGGAGGCGCTCGGCCCTGTGTGAGCTGCGTGGCTTTAGAGCTGCTCGGAGCCAGCGCTCCACGGGGCCCATGGCAGCGGGCGGCTGCTCCATCGCCCCCGGCGACATGGTCCAGCTGGAGGCCGCTGCCAGAGTGCTGGGTGAGTGGCGCCCCCTGGCTGTGGAGAGGTGCCACTGCGCCAATCCCACGGAGTGACAGATCCGAGTGTACGATATTAACGCCCGCCTACGAGGCAAACAAATGGACCGCTGCTTTGACGTGTGTTCAGTATGGATTTCAGCCTCAAAGTTAGTTAGTAACACTACTATCTGTCCATCCTCCACCTGCTTATGCTAGGCAGGGACGGGGGGGGGGAACCTGGAGCCTCTCCCAGGCATAGGGCACAAAGCAGGGGGATGCCCTGGATGCGCTGCCAGGCCGCAAGGCGCGTACATGCATAGACTCACACTCCACAGGAACTTCAGAGACGCCAGTCAGCCTGATTGGGGACTGCGGGGGGAAACCGGTGCGATACGGGAGGACATGCAAGCTCACACACACACGGCATGGGGATGGGATCCGAACCCATGGACTCCTACGGGCTGAACCAACAGTGCTGCCCACTGGGCCACCCTCTTCATCATCATCATCACCACCATCATGAACCAAGATGAACAACCCAAAGAGAAGAGACACAAACTGACATTCGGAGGCTGGCTACACGCAGCCTGTTACTGATATGCCAGATAATCTTGGATTCGTTGTTAAGCACTGAAATAAACACAATTTTAGGCTTCTTACTCAAGGTTCATATTTTCATCCAAGCCTAATGCAGACCAGTTAATGATGAATTACTGGCGAAAATAAACCAGAGCCATCATAGTCACTGTACGTACACACACACACACACACACACACACACACACACACACACACACACCCTCCTCCCACTCCCCTCTGCCAACTTCATTTGCAAATGAAAAGTTTTGTGGAGCGTCTTTGAGCTTTTGGGGGGTGCCAGAGCGGCGTGCGGGCTGTGGGGGGGGTTAGGGACCAGATGAAGCAGTCCTCGCCTGGGGGGGGGGGGCCGTCTCCTCGGCAGCGGCGAGGCTGTTCCCGAAACCTGTGTGACCATTTGTTCTGTCACACAATCTCCCGCAGCCTTTTCCACACAGCTTTAAACAACTGTCTGTGCGGAAATCACACACGACCCCCCCCCCCGTGGTGCCGCCCCCCTCCTCCAGACGCCCCAAACAGCCTCCTTTAAGGTGCCATATGGCCGGCAGAAGCCTGTAGATTTAGCTGCACATCTGCGTGTACGTTTGCGCGCGGCGGCCTTTTGTGTGCGTGTGGTTGGGGGCGTATCGGTGAGGGGGGGTGCGGGGGGGGGATGCTGGGTAATGGAACATGTTGGCGGCCGTTGGGGAGGATTATGGGATGCTGCGGCTCTGGGCGTGCGGAGGGAGAGAGCGAGAAGTTGACAAGACAGCCGTTCGTGGGGTTGTGGGTGGGGGGGGGGGGGGGGGCAGCCGACGGCTGGTCAGGCGGGGAGGCCAGCGTGTGAGGAATCGTTACCTTTAAGTCCTTGGCAGCCCTAAATCTGATCTAAGCTATTTAGGCACATTAAATAAAAAGGCGATTTCTCAGCATGGCTCATCCCACGCTCACGGGAACGACCCCAAAGATGGTCCCTCCTTACCTATGGCTGCCACCAGAGAGGAGGTGATGCGGGGACCTGGGGCGTCATTTTAATACGGACATCCGTGTCACGTGTCGTCAAGGCGGCCGCTACTGCGGTCAAACACGCAGCACGAGACAGAGAAGCGTCTGGCGGCTGAGAAACTTTGATAATAACAGCAGAGCTCCTTCGCTTCTCTGTCCCACTTTAATGAAATTAAAATCAGTCATCTGTAACACAGCAGCGGGGGGGGGGCAGGCAGAGAAACAGCCACCCTAACCTTTCACACTAGCTATGAGCGTCCATCTCGGCGCCGAAATCTACGGACGAATCTCCTTTTTTCAATTCCCTCATCTTCAAACATGTACTCTGTTTAAAGCAGATAATTTATATAAAGGTTCTCAAAAAAGGAAAACTGTCTGCAGCCCTATTACAGATTCGCTTTTTTATTTCTTTGATTTCTCCCAATCACCAGGGAGATAAATATATATATAAAACCCCATATATATAAATATATATATGAGAGGCGAAACGTTGTGTGCTAAACCCCTGTGTTGCTTGGCATGCTCTCCGCAATATAAAAATAAATCAAGCTGATCTTCCAAATGTTTCGTACGTAGCGAGCTGTCGCCGCTCTTCACAGCACAGATTGTGCCCGTTTGAGAATATCCGAGGCTGGGCCCCGACCGCTTGCGTTTTACGCCGAACCCGCCTGCACTCGCTCGTTAGCACGTACACCTTAACCCCCGCGTGCCAGGACCCGCCGCGCCGCGCCCACGGTGAGCAGCAGAGAGCCGCCGCATGTGTGCTACGCGTTCCGCCTGCTGTGCACTGCTGCCTGGAGGGGCCCCCCCCCCCGTCACGTCGACAGCCGCCTGGGGCTCCCGTGTGACCCAGAGGTCGGGCCACGGGTCTTCTGCTGTTGAACCATCGAGTGAAGCTTTGAACCTGAATTATGGCAGAGAAACAGCCGTGTGAAAGCAGTCGAAACTGAGGATGGCAAAAAAAAAAAGAAAAAAAACGGCTCACGGCTTTTCCATCCTGCGGGGGTTTGTATGAAAATGGCAGGTGTTCCTGCACATGGACTCCGGAGCTGGGGCCGGCTTCTCCGATTTTATGGTTCTGCTGTTGTACCTTTGAGGGCACAACGAAAATCACTCCAGCTGAAGAGAGTGATTCCGCAGTTTCCAGGCATCAGACTAGCAACGAAACGATTTAGCCGGCTTAACCAGCTAAGCCAATTTTGGACCCACTCTGTACAGCAAGAGCCTAATTAAACACACATGAGGCAAATTAAGCAAAATAGCTTCAATAAATGATCACCAGAACTTCATTTGTTTCCCTTAATGTAACAATGAGGACAAGGTAGCCAAAGACTTTTGTTTAACCATTCTGGTTAACACTAGTTGCTTGTTGACTTTCAGCGTGGGTGGTTATTGCTGCATTAACAGTAAAAGCTGGGCACCCCTCCTCTGTGTCCAGCAGGGGGGGTACCACCCTTTAATCACTCCTAAGAATCAAAGATGGATGGCACGTCATCCACTGATGCCTCATTTACACGCCCCAAGGTGTTGTCCTAGCAGAGGGTCATTATTTATTGGCACGGGGAAGCCACATGCCAGTCGGAATGAAACGCTGACCTCTGGTGACCGGCGGCGGTCAGCGCCTGACCTTCCCGCCTCCTGTGGGCTGCTCTCACGTGAAGAACAAGCCAGCCTTCGTCGGGTGAACTGTGACCTTGGGCAGGCGGCCAGCGGCAGGGAGGACGGCCCGGGGTGTGTGTGTGTGTGTGTGTGTGTGTGTATACCTCTGCTTCATCCGCTGGTGTATCCTGCCGTGCTGTACACACTGCTCCTCCATCTCCTGGCACCGCCCCCTCAACTTCTCCACGCTCTCTTGCAGGTGCTGGTTCTCCTGGGACAGGTGATCTACCTCCACCCTGTGCAGTTCGAAACACACACACACACACACACACACACACACACAACCACTTCAGCGCTGAAGCTCACACAGCATCCTCACAAACCCATCCACCGCCAAGACCGGCAGTTGCATGAGGACGTCTCTGCTCGCCGCAGGACGGCAGAAATGCTCCCCGTCGTACCACAGGGGCCCCTAACTCCCTCGCGAATGGGCCGCCTTCCGGACTTCCTGTGTACGAGCCCCAGTGTGTCACGACAGGCGGTGAGCAACACCCCAGACAGACTGAGCTCAAACGTGTCGATAGGTGGCAACACGCAGGACGGCAGGGACGCTTATGAGTAAGAACAGACACCTTCCGGCGGTGACGGGAGCAGAAGCGCTAATGTCACACGCAGCCGGAGTAACGGCTGTCATTCCGGAGCCTTGTGCTGGAGCTCAGAGAGCACAATTAATAAAGATGAAGAATGACCACTAAAGAATAAACCAGCAATACAGTCACACAGCATCTGTTAGCAGGAACTGGCAGGTAAAAACTGAAAATAATAATTTATTTTGATAACAAATAAGGACATTATTTTTAACAGGGCATTAGGCAACTTAAATGGCTATTGTGGTCCCCCTGTCCTGGGGAGTTGGGACCTCGCTTTCATGTCCACGGCCAGTTCCGGTCATGGATTGTGAGATTTCACTGCGAATCTCCTAAAAGATTTCAAGCTTTATCTTGAAACCCAGTTTAGTGTGGTTGTTTTAGGCTTCTATGAGAAAACAGTGAAATTGACCATTATTTTTGTTGAACGCATTTCAATGGATAATTTCTTTCAATTTTGAAAGAAATAAGGAATGTCATAGGTTGGCAGAGATGGGCAAAAAAAAAATATTTAAAATTTGATAGAAAAGTTGATATTTCTGGCCAGAGAAATGATGTTGAATCTGAGGAATTTCATGGCAGTTTTTACACTTACCTGTCAGTACCTGCCTTTAGTGCAGCATGCAGAGGGGGCTGGACAGACCCAGAGCTGCCCATTCAGTGAAACATGACCGGGGGAGGGCGGGGGGCGCAGACTACTGTGGACCACCCAAACTCCAGCATAACAAGTAGAGGGGCACTCCTTAAAACAGTCCGCAATAACGACAGCAGATTGACACACATGGTGGGCGGGGCCACAGTGCGCTGTCAATCACCTATTAACTAATCAGCCACTTCCCACTTGGATGGTTCTGGCTGAATAAAAACGGGCCGTGATTGACGGTGTAAAATGGCCCCACCCACTGTGCGTTTCAAAGCCTCTTGTCTCCCATCGCTAATTCAAGCGGCTCAGTGACTCTGCAGGTCACACACTCCCTAACCGTGCAGTCAGGGAACTTGTCACATTCCCCATGGGCGCCGTCTTCCGCAACTCGCCATGGCAACGGCCGCCAATCAAACTCAACATCCAATCTGACGGATTAATAATGTAGTGAAGGCACCCGGCCGATGGGTGGGCGTCGACGGCCGACTCGCCTGCTGCTCTCGGCCACCTCCTCCAGCTGGGCCCCCAGGCCGTGGCACTCCTCCCTCAGCCGGCCGATCAGGGAATTCTGGGAGCTCAGCAGAGACTCAAGTTCCCCAACTGGAAAGGCCACAGGACAAGGTGTGAGGAGTCAGTGGGATTTCCCTAATATCAACCACACCCCCCAAAGTGGGCTGCCTCAAACTAGCAAGTCATGACCCCGACTGCATCTTCTGGCTCGACGTCTGCGTACGGGTTTCCGGGTGGCTGGTGTTGGAAAGAGTTACCGCCTTTGAAACCTGATGTGCTTTACCGAGTGCCCACTCTCCAGATTTTTAAGTGGCTCGAAAAGCGGAGCGGCGACTTTGATCCCGCTCCTGACACAAACACACAAACGCGCGTGGCGCTCCACACATGGCGCGTCTGCATAGAGGCGCCTGACCTCTGGGGCCTCCGCGGCCCCCCCAGCGCCGCAGTGCCGCTCTGCATGAAGGATCCTCGCTCTGTTTGAGTGCTCTTCACGCTAGATGGCCCTTTCTGCCGTTTACGGCTCTCTTTGAAACGGACGCTGAGAGGACGGGGACCGAGTCTCAGATCAGAGTGGCTGCGGGCGGAAAGACCCTCGGGGGAGAGGGGGGGCTCATGGTGACTGAAGGGCGGCTGGAGATTAAGGGGGCTGCACTGGGCCGTTCATTCATTTTATGTATTGACCCCTTTCCACCTTAGCAGAGGCTCAGGTCTAGCGATGGCTTATTACAAACAAAACAGAACTGTGGAAGCCAGGACTACTTTCTATAATTTTGTGTTTCCCAAAGGGATTGTCTTTAGAATTTAAGTTAACCTGGGTAAAAAAAAAAAAAAAAAAAACAAGGCACAAGATCTGCAGATATCTTGGTCAAAAATAAAAAATACTTGAATCAAAAAGCATCCACCCAAAGATGACAAGACAATAGTGTGTTGTTGACAGGTCTCAGTCAGTCGCTCACCATGTAGGCAGGACTGACAGGGCAGCGCGGCGGGATCTCGCGGACGTCCGGGGAGCCACGGCCGCGCCGCATGGATTATCGGGACCGCGGCACGTTTCGCACCCGTGTTTTACACAAAGGATCCCCGGGGGGGTCTGTCGCAGTTACACATTGACGTGCGGAGCGGGTGTTGCAAGCGGAGGGCTGCGAGTGGCAGGCGTGCGCCACCAAACAGCCGCTCTAAGGCCCGGGGGGGGGGGGGCAGCACAGGGACGCAGAGAAGCCGCGAGACAGGTCGCCGATAAGGGGGGAAAAAAAATTATAACTATGGCGAAGTTCAAACTGCACATCAGTGGAGGAGTTTGAAAGCAACACTCTGTGTGTGTAGGCCACAGGCGCGCGTATGGGAGCGGAAAAACACAGATAAAAAGGAAAAACTGGGAGTGAAAACAAACGGAGTCTGAGAGGAGAGAAAAAACACACAATGCCGACTGGAGGCGATTCGGTCTCGAACGGCGAGGAAAAACTGGTCTTTCGGGGAGCTGGAGGAAAGGCAGGCGGGGGGGGACAGCTAATTAGCTTGTGAGAGTGGCCATTATAAGCTTTGAGAAGGAAGTGGTCGGAGGTATTAAAGGCCTAATTCGGTAGAGCCGCACAGACCCCCACTGAGCCCCTGATGCCGCTTCTCTTTAGACAACATGTGTGCCGGCGCGCGGCGCCAAGAACCAGCCCTTTGTTTCGCCGGCTTTGTTCTGCCATCGGCCTGCTTCAAGTTTCTCGGAACGCAGGTAAATAAAAGCGCGGTGACTGCAGATGGTGCAGCAGATGTGAGCGCGGCGCCGCGCGCCGAGGGCGGCAGGCAGTGGGGTGGTGCTGCCCGCGCTCCCGCCTAAACGCTAACTAATATGTAACGCGGAGCCTTCCGGAGCGACCGGCACCTGCTCCCCCTCCACCGGCCAAAGGTTACAGGTGTTCGAGACCACCGAGCCCGGAGGGGGTTATACCCACCGCTCCTCTGATGGTCCTCCTCCACCTCACACAGCCTCTGCATCAACTCCCGCTTGCACTCCTCCACCCGGGAGGTCAGGACGACCACCTCCTCGTTCCGGCTACGCTCAGCCATCTCCTTCTCCTTTCTGGAAGTGGAGGGAAATGAGGGGTAAGATGTACAGGAAGGACTGGTACGGGGGGGGGGGGGGGGTTTGCAAGGGGCCACAGCACCACCTGTGACACGGGGGCCATGACTGAGACATTCCAGGAGGGACAAAGTAAATCAGGCCGACGGCTCAAACCGCTAAATCAAACCCCAGCAACACCCGTCACTAAGTTAGTACACTGTCATGCGTGTGATTCATATATTTCATTAATTTCCCCGGTAGTTTGTGCGCGAAAAAACGCCCGGCGCTTAAGAACTCGACACAGATGCGTGGCGTTTATTTTTTTTTTTAATTTGGTCTCACATGAATTGGTCCGTGCCAAGTGCCAAGTACATCGCCCATGGAGAGAGAGAGAGAGCGAGAGAGAG